GCCCTAATACAAAGTTTATTTTTTTATATATCATATTTTTTGTTCACATGTAGATACATTTTTTCAGATAGTTTTTATAGTGGACACAAAATTCTTAAATTTATAAAGTATTTCAAACATACAAGGAAATGTAATACTAATGCTAAGAATTAAAATAGTAATAATAAAACCACCCCTGTATTTTTTTTCATCTGCCTTAGCAAATACAGGATTAGAGTTATATCTTTAAAATACTGTATATACTTAGTAATAGAATGCTCCTCGTAATAGTGTTCCCCTCTCTTCTATTCTTACTTTATCATTTGCTTGCTTTTATTTGTAGTTTTATTAGACATATATTCCTATACTATATTGTACGTTTTGAACTTTATATACATGGTATTATTTTGTATGTATTATTCAGTAACTTGTTTCTTTGTTTTTTTTTAAATCCTCACGCGAGGATATGCTTTAATTGATATATATATATATATATATATATATATATATATCTATATATCTATTTTTTTTTTTTTTTTCCGAGAGAAACATTGATGTGTATGTGCCCTGACCAGGAATTGAACCCTCAACCCTTTGGTCTGTGGGCTGCTGCTCTAACCATTGAGCAACCGGCTAGGGCCACAAACTTTTTAGGTTGATGTAGTTGGTTATTCAGTTTGTTCTATAATTTAGTTGTAATTCCAGTTTGGTCCTGGGAGGAGGTAAGTGTAACTTCCATCTACTCTACTGTCATCTGGGATCTCCAATTGATTTTTGGATTTTTTGGTTTTGTCAGGTCCTCAAGTAAAGTATGAGTATATGTTACTTGAAGAAAACCCACTACTGAATAAACTTACCAGTGTTCCTTATACAGTTTTGGACATGTCCATAGCACAAGTCTAAATAATTTTCTTAATTTTTAATGTTACAGTACTCTATTGATTTAATTATTGTATCATAATTTCTGTAACCAGTTCATCATTGCTAAATACTGTGATAGTTTTTTTCTTGTTTGCTCTTGAATGACATCATATATATCTTGTGTATATAGTCTTTTGTTGTTGTATACTTTCATTTGGATGAATTCTTGGAAGTAGATTATTGGGTTTCTTGAATGTGCACTTTTTTTTTTGCCTTTGATACTGCCATATTGCTTTTTAAAGCCACCAGTATAATTTAAATGTCAACCGTTGATCATATGGTATACTATCAATTTATGAATTGCTAAGAAAAAAACTTTTTCTGTTAAACTGACACAATACATTCTTATTTAGATTTTTTATTTTATACTTATATCTTTTAGGTGTAAATAAACAAATTTTTATCATATTTTGAATATACATTAAAAGGGGAAAATTAGCCAATTTAAATATGGTATTCTTAAAGCTCCACATTTAGTCCAATTATTCTATGTTGTTGGGTTGTTTTTTTTTAATTCCTCACTAGAGTATATTTTTTTCCATTGATTTCTGTAGAGAGTGGAAGGGAGGGAAGAGAGAGGGGGAAAGAGGGAGAAACATTCACCTGAGAGAGACACATCAATTAGCCGCTTCCCACCACTACTAGTTCCTTGACTGGGAATTGAACCCAAGGGCTGATGCTCTAAACCACTGTGCAACTGTCCAGGGCTTTGTATGTTATTTTTTGATTCAAAGTTGTAGTCTGTATTTTTTCACAATAAACATTAAGAATGTTGGCGATGCCCTGGCCAGTTTGGCTCAGTGGATAGAGCGTCGGCCTGTGGACTGAAGGGTCCCAGGTTCGATTCCAGTCAAGGGCATGTACTTTCTCTCTCATCGATGTTTCTAACTCTCTATCCCTCTCCCTTCCTCTCTGTAAAAAATCAATAAAATATATTTAAAAAAAAAAGAATGTTGGCGATAGCAAAACAAAAACAATAATCAGATTAAAAAGTAGGCTAATGACTTGAATGGATATTTCTCCAAAGAAGACATACAAATGGCTAACAGGTCATCAGGGAAATGCATCAAAACCACAGTGAGATACTACCTTAAACCTCTTGGCTATTATCAAAAAAGTAAAAGACAGGAAGTATTTGTGAGGATGTGGAGAAACTGAAACACTTGTACGCGGTTGGGGGAAGTGTAAAGTGGTGCAGCTGCTGTGAAAAACAGTTTGGAGGTTCAGCAAAACTGTAGAACTACCCTGTCACCCAGCAAGCCCACTTCTGGGCATTTAAACTAAGGAATTGAAATCAGGATCCCAAACAGATATTAGCACTCACATGTTCATTGCAGCACTACTGAGAATAGCCAAGGTGTGAAAACAACCTAAATGTCTATCAGTGGAAGAATGGATAAAGAAAATGTGGTATATACATACAATGGAATATTTCTCAGCCTTAAAATCCTGCAATATGTGACAACATAGATGAACCTTGAGGAAATTATGCTACGTGAAATAAGCTAAGTCACAAGACAAATGCATGATTCCACTCGTGAGATATGTAAACTAATCAGACCCATAGAAGCAAAGAGTAGAATAATGGTTGTTAGAACTGGGGAAGGGGAAATAGGGAGTTGTTAATCAGGTATAAAGTTTCAGTCATGCAAGTTGAAAAAGTTCTAGAGGTCTGCTGTCTAACACTGTGCCTATATTTAACAGTACTGTACTGTCCTCTTAAGAGGGGAGATCTGTTAAGTGTTCTTACCACAATACATTTTTTTTTTTAATGTTGGTGATACAACATTTCTTATGAATATGTCTGGTCAATAACAGTTACATGGTGCTCTCCAATATAAAATGCATGTTAATTTCAGATATGTTAACATGTGAAACACTGTATTCTAAAATAGGATGATTTCACTAAATCTTATTGGGGTGTCATGATTCAGTGTTTTTCCCTAGCCCAGTGAGGTACAAAATGCCATCCATTTTAACTTACATTTTTATTGTTAATGAAGTTGAACATTTTCAGTATTTATTGGAGTATTTTTTTAGCAATTGTTATTAGGATCTTTAGTATTGAAATTAAAGGTGAGATTGTTTCTCATTGTATTAAGGTTTACCAAATTTTTCCTCCAAAGGAAACCACTTAATGTAGGTACTACTTGATTTTTTTAAAATGTAATTTAAGTATTGCTGTCTGATATTTATGACATGTTAAGCTGTCATTCTTGAACTTGTACATTAGAATTACCAGGCAGCCTATTGAAATGTAGCTTCCTGGTCCTGTTGCAGAGTTTGAGTAATTTACCTTTTTTTTTTTTTTTAATCCTCATCTGAGGATATTTTTTCCATTGATTTTGAGAGAGAGTGACAGAGAGGGAGGAGGGGGGAAGAGAGAGAGAGAGAGAGAGAGAGAGAGAGAGAGAGACACTTTGACATGAGAGAGACTCATCATTTGGTTGCCTCTGCTCTTGCCCGGACTGGGGCCAGGTACCTGCAACCAAAGTATGTGCCCTTGACCAGGAATTGAACCTGCAGTTCTTCATCTGTGGGCTGACACTCTAACTACCGACCAAACGGGCCAGGGCCAGAGTTTGAGTAATTTGGTGTGGAGTGAGGTATAGGAATCTGTATTCATAACAAGTACCGCAGGTTATAACCATGCTGAGAACCTGTGGAAGGTTATGAGGGAGGTAGAGCTGCAGGTTTTCTGAGAACCTCTTTGGTAGGTAATACTGGCTGTAAGTTCATAGGAGTAGATACTTGGTTAGAACGCCATGGAAACTTGGTAATAAGCTGCTTTTAATGTTAGGAACTGAGAAGGATTGTTGAGTATCACGTGTAGTTTTATCTTCTACAACAATTTGAAAAAAAGGAAAAAATGGAGATTTTTGTTGAGGTAATTCTTTTTCATTGGTATTCCTTTATTTCAAGGCTTTCTCAGTTCCTCTTAATGTCTAGAATAAACAGAGATTAGGTTAAAACAAGGTTTGATTAATCAGAATGTAAGCTCCATGAAGGAGATGTGTTCTTTCTTACAATCCAGAGTTAAAACAGTACTTGGAACATGGCAGGCATTCAAGAATACTAGTATTTGTTGAACGTATGAGTGTGCAGAACAGTTTTTACATAACAGATACTCTTCAGAGAGTAAGAGTTTGCTTTGAATCACTTAAAATTGCCTGTCAGTAGTAGCTGCAATTGATCTTACGTAAAATTTATATTAAACCTATGGATTTTTAATTGAGGGTCATTTACTGTTAAAATTGTGGGAATGATTACATCATTTATATTTTTTCCATATAAGTTGCATTTTAAATTTATAACTGGTGTTGCAAATAGAGCTCTTGCATTAAAAGCATTTTAATTTTCCTTTTAGGAGTTAACGGAGCAGTTTCATCAAGTTGAGTCTCAACTGAATAAGCTAAATCATCTTCTCACTGATATTCTTGCTGATGTAAAGACAAAAAGAAAAATTTTGGCATCTAATAAACTGCATCAAATGGAAAGAGAATTATATGTATATTTTTGTAAAGATGAAGATTATCTGAAAGAGATCGTGGAAAATTTAGAAAACCAATCAAAGATTAAGGCTGCTGATCTCAAAGAATGAAAATTACTACATACTGAATCTTTACTACATAGGCTATGTTTTAATGTTTTACATATCAGGAGGAGAATATAGCTAATAAACACTAAGAATTTAAATTCGAGGTCAATGGAACATTTAATTTAACGAATTCAAGTATTATATCAGTTTTTTTTTTCTTTCTATAACATGTTTCTTCAGAGTCAGTGCTTAATATGACTTGAATATCTGCTTGGTGCCACTCAGTCCTGGTAACTTTGTACTTACAAGAAAAACACATTACAGTAGCTGTCCCCTATCTGCAGTTTTGCTTTCTGCTGTTTCAGTTACCTGCAGTCAACTATAGTCTGCAAATACATGTGGGAAATTTCAGAAATAAACAGTTCATAAGTTTTTTTGTTATTTTTAAAAATACACATATTTTTATTGATTTTAGAGATGAAGGTAGAGAGAGAGAGAAACATCGATGATGAGAGAGAACCATTAATCAGCCACCTCCTGCACCCCTCACCAGGGTTCAAGCCCACAATCCAGGCATGTGCCCTGACCAGGAATTGAACCGTGACCGTGTTCATAGGTCAATGCTCAACCACTGAGCTTAGGCCAGTTCATAAGTTTTAAATTATGTGCTGTTCTGAATAGTGTGATGAGATTTCACGCCCACCTGCTCTCTCTAGTCTGGGACGTGAATCATCCTTTTTTTCAGCATGTCTACACTGTATGCTACCTGCCTGTTAGTCACTTAACTGTCTTGCTTATCGGATCAGCTGTTACAGTGCTTATGTCCAAGTCACCCTTACTTTACTTAATAATAGCCTCAAAGTGCAAGCGTAGTGATGCTGGCAATTGTATGGCCAAAGAGAAGCCATACAATTCTTCCTTTAAGTGAAAATGTATGTACTGTAAAGGAAAAAGTGTGTATAGGGTTCTGTGTTTTTTTTAATAGAGTTGTATACTTTATTAATTTTTTTAGAAATAGAAATATTCTGCTGTTAAATGTTTTTAAATTTTGTAGAACTTTGAATCAGCATTGTTAAAGCTGTAAGCTTAATATATGGGATAGCTAAGTCTATATTTGACTGTAAAGTAAAATTCTGCCACTCTGACTGTATTCCCTCATCATTTTCTACTATAGACTTTGAGACTTAATGTTCTTACTTAGACCACAGCAAAAGTCAAGTCTCCTTGGCCCATTGTTCATTTTACAGACTGGGTCCTGGGGCCTCAGAATTTCTGCCAGACATTTCAGCACTGCTTTAACTTCAGTGTGACTTACACATGAATGACTTTCAAATGAAATTTCAAAATTCCTTAGAAGTGCTTGCTCAAAGGATGCGTAATGCTTTTTTAAAATAATCCTCACCCAAGGAGTGAGGATATTTTTTCCACTGATTCTAGAGAGAGTGGAAGGGAGGGAGGCAGGGAGAGAGGGAGAAATGAGGTGACAGAGACACATCGATTAGTTGCCTCCGACACACGCAGCTACTGGCAGTGGGGATTAAACCTGCAACCCAGGTACATGCCCTTGACCAGGAATCAAACCTGAGCTCCCCCCTCTCCTTGTGCAGGCGAGGCTTTAACCACTGAGCCACACCCACCGGGACAGGTGCATAATGCTATTTTAATTAGTTTCTTTGGTGTGAAAACAATGTTGGACTGTAATAGGATACAAGTATACAGCATTTGAACAAACAGAAGTTAAGAGTTGGTATGAAATAATTTGAAGTAGCTTATCAGTTATTGCATCAAATGCTTCTTTAATGTCTGATTTATACATGGCCTCTCTTATATACCATGTGAGTTTTATAGAAAGATACAGATATTACTTAAGAATGACCTGCTCTTGATATCTAAAAACCTATAATGTGATCTTTATGGAATTTTCAACCATAACTATCAGAAAATGGGTTGCAGAGGTGACAGATGAGCCCTGATAATTTTTGTAATGGGTTGAACAAAACTGTTTGGCCAATTATTGTATTTGTACATTATTTAAAATTTATGAAGTAAATCTTAATATGCTTGAAAAACATTTTCCCCCGATTCTACCTTGGACTAGATAATGAAAAATTTTCTTTTCTCCAGCAATATGGAAAAGTATGTCACCTGTTTCCTGGTTATTGAAATAAATTCTGTTAAGATTAGTGCCAAATATGTTAGATGACCAACCAGCTATTTGGTGATTTGTTCTGTGGCTTCCAGACCTTCATGTTCTCAGCCCAAGGGGCCCAGTATAGCTGAGCAGAGGGAGTGAAAGGATGTCAGGCGGTGTGTCATCATGCCAGTTAAAAATAACTATGTTATTAGGTTTGTATATTTGAAGACTATAATAACTGAAACTAGGAAGTATTAGAGTAAATTGCTTCACAATTGATTAACTAGAAAATACGTTCTTTGTTACTTATATATCACTACAGGCCCAGTGCATGAAATTCATGCACAGGTAGGGTCCCTGCCGGCTGCTGGCTTGGGCCTTCCTTCATTCTGTGCCGCCCCCTGGTGGTCAGCGCACGTCATAGCGAGTGATCATACTCCTGGTAGGTTGAACTCCCGAGGGGACACTGCATATTAGGCTTTTATATATATAGATAATACCCCAAATGAGCCTCTAACCCAGCCGTGGGCAAACTACGGCCCGCGGGCCGGATCCGGCCCGTTGAAATGAATAAAACTAAAAAAAAAAAAAAAAGACCGTACCCTTTTATGTAATGATGTTTACTTTGAATTTATGTTAGTTCACACAAACACTCCATCCATGCTTTTGTTCTGGCCCTCCGGTCCAGTTTAAGAACCCATTGTGGCCCTCGAGTCAAAAAGTTTGCCCACCCCTGCTCTAACCATTACTTTCTTCTTACGATCCTATATGTAAATGGGACAGTTTATTTCTACTTCTTGTGGTTTTTAATATAAAAATTTTTATGAAAGTCAGTACATAAAAAATTTCAGATTTCTTGTTTATTTTGAAGGCTCAAAATTAATATATAGGTATTATGTTTATCTTATGTTTAGGATTTTATGAAAATGGAAAATTATGAGGCATTTGTAGGCTTTGATCTCTGTCAGATGCCACTTTCCAGTGTTGCTCAGAAGATTATGTCTGCTATGCATTCAGGTGATTTAGTGGAGTCTAAGAATTGGAGAGAGAGTGAAAAGAGTGAGTAATATTTATGAACCTTTCTGTCATTTGTTACTTTGGTGTTATTAATTCTTAAGACTAAGAGTTTGAAAATGAAATGTAGCAAAATTATTCTATAAAACTTAAATTGTGTGGGGAAGCTCCTGCCTACGAACAAGTGGAGTCCAGCTTTCCCGCACTTTACCTGCATTCAGTGATGACTGAGCTGCTGCTCCCTTAGCCCTTGTTTTTCAGTGTAACACTTCCTTGCCCCAGGCACTGCTGTCAGACATTCCCTTAGATCTCATCAGCTGTAAGTAACTTCAGAAGACATGGGCTCCTCCACAGTGCCTGTGCTTCAGCCTTAGCTCTCGAGTCATTGAACCTGTCCACAGTACAGTCAGCCCTCCATATCTGCAGGTTCAGCCAACTGCAGATAGAAATATTAGCAAACAATTAAAATCCCAGAAAATTCCAGAAAGCAGGAAAACTTGAGTTTGACATGCACCCGGTACTATGTTGAGTCCTCCCAAATGAAATGATGTCTAGGCATACCCTGCTGTGGTCTTTATGCCAGTATAGGTTATATGTAAATACTATGGCATTTTATGTAAGGGATTTGAGTATCCACGGATTTTGGTAGCCCTGGGAGTCCTGGAACCCATCCCCTAATGATACTGGATGATTGTATTTGCTTATTGTGTATGGTGGACAAGAGAAGTGTTTTTTTGTTTTTGTTTTCTAAGTTTTTTTGTGAATCCTCACCTGAGGATATTTTTTCCATTGATTTCTTTTTTAAGAGGGAGGGAGAGAGAGAAACATTGATGAGAGAGACATTAATTGGTTGCCACCTGCATGTTCCCTGATGGGGACTGGGGATCGAACCTGTAACCCAGGTACGTGCCCTTGACCAGGAATCAAACCCAAGACCCTCTGTCTGCAGGCCAATGTTCTAACCACTGAACAAAACCTGCCAGGGCAAGAAGTGTTCTTGACTATATATATATATATTACTGCCATAGAAATACGTAAACTCTTAGGGGGCAAAGGTTGGTGAATCTTTGTATATATGTTCATGACGTGGTATAATAGTAAAAGCTGTGACATATGCTCATAAATGTGACTGAAATGTTTTGGACACTTTTTTCACTAGCAAAGTAGTTTTTATTTTAAATTTGTAAGTCTGGGCCAATAAGTTGTTTGTTTCTTTTCTCCAGAGTAAGTTATAAGTGAGTGAGATATAATTGAGTAATTATATTGAGATGAAATAATTGAGAGTATTGACAAACAGTGCAAACACTGTTATAAATGAAGTTTCTTAATTAAGATATAATCGCACTTAACACTTCACTCCATTTATATTCAAGCATCTGTTGCTTGTGTGTCTTATAGAAGTTACGAATAAAGTAACTGGTAAGGATTTTTGGGTGTGGACTACATACCTAGTGTTTTAGGGGGATGATGCTGGTGGCGGGAATAGTAACAAAAGACAAAAAGTTAATCATTGAAGAGCTTTCTCCTTTATTCTGTATAGATTTGCTTCCTAAAAGGCAGTGTGCACTTGACAGTTGGAACTGTGCCCCTTCAGTAACGGGTCAGGAAATGCCTCTGGTAGGTAGTTACAGTGGGAGTCTCTGGAGGAAAATTTCACCCAGCTCACAAACTCTCTCGTCATAGTCTTAAAACACCCTGTTAGATCCCTAGTTTTTATAAATTTATTGAAAAGACAGATAATAGAAAAATAAGTTTTTATTTTTTGTCAGGTGTTTTTGATTTGGAAAAAGTGGGTTTTCACAAGGATTCTGTTATCTGTTGTCACGTAACACCATCACTGCAAACTTAGTGACTAAAAACAACACATTTGATATCTCAGTTTCTGTGGGTCGGGAGCCGGGCACAGTTAGCGGAGGCATCTGCAAGGCTATGGTGCAGGTGTCAGCCAGGCTTGGAGTCTCACCTGAGGCTCAAATGAAGCATTCGCTTCCAAGTTCACACGGTTCTTGGCAGAGTTCAGTTCTTTTTACGTAGTTGTGACCATAGGCACCTTTTCATCATATAGGCGCTTGCTTTTTCAAAGAGAGCAAGAGTGTGTCCCTAGCATGGCTGACATTACAGTTTTATGTGGCATAATCACAAATATCCTGTCCTTTATTCTGTTGTTTAGAAGTGAGTCAGCAAGTCGCATCTGCACTTGGGGGAAGGAGTTTACAGGGGCATGAATACTAGGAGGCATGGGTCATGGGACCGACCACCTTAGAGTCTGTCTGCCTCTGAGTCTCACCAGTTTTATTATTTCACCAGAGGCCCGGTGCACAAATTTTTGCACCAGTGGGGTCCCTCTGTCTGGCCTGCAGGATTGAGCTGAAACCAGCTCTCTGACATCCCCTGAGGGGTCCCTGATTGCAAGAAGGCACAGGCTAGGCTGAGGGACCCCACCGGTGCACAATCGGGGCCGGGGAGGGACGCAGGAGATTGACCAGCTGGGGAGGGGCCACGGGAGGGCTCCAGGGAGTGTCCAGCTCGTCTTGCTCAGTCCTGATCAGCTGGACCCCAACAGCAAGCTAACCTACCAGTCCCCTGGTGGTCAGTGCACATCATAGCGAGCAATTGAGTGGCCTTAGCATATCATTAGCATATTACGCTTTGGTTGACTGGATGATCGGACACTTGGCATATTAGGCTTTTATTATATAGGATAGGAATTTGAATTAAAGTTGGATTGCTTGTGGGTTACTGATGAATGATGCTGGATGTAAGACCTAATGATTCTTGGGTTCTTTGTCACATGCTGAGCTGTTCTTATCTCTTAAAAGCATTTAACTTCTGAAAGCGCATTTCATACCAAGTACATACCAAACTTGCACTCAGAAATCAATGAGAATAAGCTACAGCCCTAACTAGTTTGGCTCAGTGGATAGAGCAGTGATGGCGAACCTATGACACACATGTCAGAGGTGACACGCGAACTCATTTTTTTGGTTGATTTTTCTTTGTTAAATGGCATTTAAATATATAAAATAAATATCAAAAATATAAATCTTTGTTTTACTATGGTTGCAAATATCAAAAAATTTCTATATGTGACACGGCACCAGAGTTAAGTTAGGGTTTTTCAAAATGCTGACACGCCGAGCTCAAAAGGTTCGCCATCACTGGGATAGAGCGTCGGCCTGCGGACTGAAGGGTCCCAGGTTCAATTCCAGTCAAGGGCATGTACCTTGGTTGCGGGCACATCCCCAGTAGGAGGTGTGCAGGAGGCAGCTGATCGATGTTTCTCTCTCATGGATGTTTCTAACTCTCTATCCCTCTCCCTTCCTCTCTGTAAAAAATCAATAAAATACATATTTTTTAAAAAACTACAAATATTTGGTTTACAAACACTAAAATAAAAGCAAACATTATTAATGTTATATGTCACTTTGGGGTCTACTTTTCTGATCTGCTAGACTACTTGAGGTATCTCGAGACACATATTCAGTAAGAATTGGACTGCATAAACTTTTTGCAAGATTGATCTCTTATTTTAAAACCCTTTGCTGAGAGGAAGAAAAAAAGATGCAAAAACTAAAAATATGACTTAATACCCTCTCCTTGCTCAGCAGTAACCATTATCCTGACATTTTATGGCAATCTTTTCTCACGTCTTGATCACAGGCATCTTGTATTGCTCCAAAAGCCTTTTGGCAAAGACTATGTGTTTGCCACAACAGAGTCCTTCCTTTCTGCGGCACACGATCAGACTGCATGGCTCAGTCTTCTTACAGTCAGGTGTGGCCAAGTGGCAGGTTCCTGTCAGTGGTACATGCATGCCATTTCCAGGGTAGTCCTGGGAACATCCAGCTTGCTTCCTTGCTGGCCACCTCTTGCCTTCCCTCCAGTTGCAACCTGAAACGACTCCTTCCCAGCCCTGCAGATGATAACAGTATCCTAGTGGATCGTGGAACTCCGTGCTGGACAGAAGCGGGTCCCAGAGTGACTTCATGAGCAGCTGCACCACCAGCTGAGGCCACTCACCTCGACCTGAGAAATAAACCTGCTCTTTGTTCTTTAAGCCCTTGTATTGTATTGTTGGGTCTTTTGTGAAGAGTAGTTCAGCTTTTTACCCTAATTCATACACGTTTAAACTAGATTCAGAATTGGGTTCATCTGACTTGAGTTTTCATTGGCATTTTATTGTTCAGTAATGCTACTGAGAGTCTTTGGTAAATACTGGGAGGAGGAGTTTTCAGGGTGTTTTGGGGCCGACCTGGTGCTGTACATATGATTAAGAACATATTTATTAGAATACACCTGTGTTTTTTCTAAGTACCTATAGAGATCAAGTAATGTTTTCTAGCATACATTTATCCAGGTTCTTTTTTATTTAACTTGAGAGAGCTTAGAGGTGAATTTGGTGTTTTCTAGTAAAATAAAAATATTTTTACAGACATTGCAAATTAGGAGTTTGAGGCCCCTGAAGGTAGATATTTGTCAAAATCCAATTCATTTATGTGAAATGTTTATTTCCATCATCTCGTGGAAATCTTTGCAATTTTAAGGACAGATAACAAAGTGACAAAATAGATCTATTTTGGTTATATTCATTCTAGTCGAGAGTATATGGATAAACAATTTATATTTTTATTTCTTTTTTTTTAATATATTTTTTATTGATTTTTTACAGAGAGGAAGGGAGAGAGATAGAGAGTTAGAAACATCGATGAGAGAGAAACATCGACCAGCTGCCTCCTGCACATCTCCTACTGGGGATGTGCCCGCAACCCAGGTACATGCCCTTGACCGGAATCGAACCTGGGACCCTTCAGTCCGCAGGCCGACGCTCTATCCACTGAGCCAAACCGGTTTTGGCTATATTTTTATTTCTATCCCATAAACAAAACTCTTATTTTCAATCACAGCAAACCCTGCCAGGTGTTGATTTCAGTTCGCTCTGCCCTGCTTCAGGACCGTTTTCTCTCTCCCTTGGATTTGCAGTAGTTTCCTAATTGCTGTTTGCCTTCATTTTGTTGCGTTTGGTCTTGCCTTTGTGAGAATTAGCT